GACGCGATCCCAGACTATGTCATCTTCTTCAGGTGGTGGAAGGATGCGGGCCTTGTCTGTAACATCTACAGAACAGAAGACCTTTTTTTTTTACACAAAAATGTGGGTTTTTTTTTAAGCCAAAACTGGAAAACCTCAAGAGAATGCATCTGGACCAGCACTTGGACAATCTGCACAGCTCCTGATTCCAGTCAGGCTGTGAGCTGCTGAGACATGGACAATACCAGCGTCCTCTTTTGCATGGACATGATTTTGAACAATTGGATTTCTGAATTTGGACATCATTTGGACTGAATTGAATTGCTGAATCTGGACACTGAAGCTGAAACGTGTGATTGAAATAACACGTCACAGAAGAATCATGGCTCGACACGACAAATGCAGCCTGAAGAAACCAACACGGAGAAGTGGGAGAGACTGTTAATATCTGGAACCACCATCGACTGATGAAGTTTGGTATTTTACTGAAGATTGTTGACAAGTTTTATGAAAGATCTGAACATGTTTTATGAGTTTTCTGAGTTTTTGAAGTATTCCGAGTTCTGAGTTTTTTTGAAGTACCGAGTGAAGTACCGAGTTTAAGTATTGAGTTATGATGTTATGTTGCTGTTTATCGATCCTGATGGTCACACGGGAATGTGTGACCAGAGGGGGGAATGTGAGATTTCATAACACTTTGAAGCAACTTTTGTTAAGGTTAAACTCATCATTCTATCAATGTGCAGAAGCCAGTACTTTTCCCTTGTTGTGTCTATCTGAAGGCCTCCGCTACATGGCACTGTGGCAGCTGCTGATTGGAGGTCTCCATGCCTCCGCTCTGTATAGTACACTTGCATTCTGTTGTATCTGTGTTCGTGCCGTCTCTACCATCGACAATAAAACATGTCTTCTGTCTGAATTAAAGACGCGATCCCAGACTATGTCATCTTCTTCAACTGCAAGATATATTTTCTGACTCCCCTACTGGACTGGTCAAGGCTTGGTTGGCCCTAAATCTTCCATGCTCAGACGAGGGGTAAACACATTTTCATATCAAATTATGGAACACATCCAACTGGCATTCAGGCATGTATGGACTATAATTTGGTGAGGTAAATTGGTGAAATTCTGAGTAATCAAAAGCGGATGTCAATAAAGTGTTTTCCCCCCTCCGTAACTATGGCAATAATAAAGTTACGATGTATAGATAAAATTCTTCCAGCTCTGGTCCTAGAGATGGGTCCATGGACGCTACGAGAGACTTCTGCTCATGAGTCCTGACAGAGGAGGCGTCATAAGCAGTGGACATTTCTCTAACTGTACAATAAGTGTACCTTGAATTTAAGTAAGACATGACATTCAATTTGGACAATTTGGAACAGTTAAAGTCAATCAAAATAAACATATTATTGTTATTTTTGTTGAGTATATTTGTACAGCGTGGGAGAGCCTGTACCATCACACATCCACATAGGTTTGTCGTCCCTACAGTGGACCCAGCGGCCCCCGGAGCCCCCAGTACAGTGAGTAAGAGACTGAAGGAGGAAGTACAGATACCTAATGTGCCACAGAAACGAGACAGAAACCATGGAAACCATAATCACAACTCAGGAGCGAAGTGCAATCACAGAACACATATACGCCCAAATAATAACACTTCATCACACAGGTGGATACAAGCAATTTACTGTGTCTCATTTATTTCTGTGTCTTTTTTATTTATCATGATAGCAGCAAGAGTAGATAATACTATCTGGGGAAAAGTGATGAATGTCCCAGTAGTAGTAGTAATCTTTATTTATATACCGCCTTTTCACTGCAGAACTGAGTCTCAAAGCGGTTTACAATTGTTAATATTTTTTTTTGGGCATTTGTCTCTCACTCCACACTGAGATGGGAGCGGGGCCAGTACAGGAGGCACATGCTAGAACTATTGGACATGTTTTTAGTGGTAGGGGAAACCGGAGTACCCGGAGGAAACCTACGCAGACACGGGGAGAACATGCAAACTCCACTCAGAAAGGCCCTGGTCCGACCGGGATTCGAACCCAGGACCTTCTTGCTGAGAGGCGAGAGTGCTATCCACTCAGCCACCGTGCCAGTGTGGGGACGTTGTGGGGACTCCACTCAGCCACAGGTCCACGGGGACAACGCGAGAAACATAAAGAACTCCAATTTTTATGCTCAATATAAAACTATAACATGCTCCTTAGACCCATCTCTATTAGATCATGTTAAACAAATGCAGTGAGCACTTATTCATTTCTTAGACAATCCATCCCCCCGCACAGGTGTGGCATGTCCAGAGGTTGTTTAGATGTAGTGGACATAGCTGCAGTGGTGGGATGGACTGCAGCCAAGAAGTACTCTCTGGAGCTGATTTAGGCCAATGTGCTGATAAAGACGGGTCTATTAGGCATATTAAGTTTATAATGTTGTGTTGAACCCATGAAAAATTGGATAAAACAATAGTTTTGTATAGTGTTGTTCAGTGGATTTAATAACCAGGACCAGTGGAAACCCCCATCTCCTAATTGTATGTAGAAATCAGTAAAACACTTGGTCATTGTATAATCACACATAAATGCACTTCTGGGTGTTCTCATTAATTATTCATGTTGAGCAGTAGCATTAATTCAAGGAGGAAAAGCTGTGCACTATGCAGGCTTACTGAAGACTCACTCTCTAAAGAACACACTTGGGCTGGATCCAGATTCTACCTCCCCTGTCCCTTGTGAAAGTCACCGCTTGAAGTTTTTTTAACCTCATACTGTCCACCTCATTTTGGCTTGTGCACAAAAGTTGGACAAACCCAAATGTCACATTTAAAAATACATCTTAAAGATCACCTGCTGCTTGTGTCATGCATCATTTTTAAGCTATTGCGTTCTAGTGTTTAGATATACACTTGAAGAATGTATTTCATTTCAGACCTATTATAGTTTTGATGCAGTTGCCCTTTTTCAAAAACTAGTGCCATTTAGAACTTAGTTTGGGTAGGCTCTCGGTTGTACAGGGTAAGTAATCTTTATTTATATACCGCCTTTTCACTGCAGATCTGAGTCTCAAAGCGGTTTACAATTGTTAATTATGGGCACTTGTCTCTCACTCCACACAGAGATGGGAGCGGGGCCAGTACAGGAGGCGCATGCCAGAACTATTGGACATATTTTTAGTGGTAGGGGAAACCGGAGTACCCGGAGGAAACCTACGCAGACACGGGGAGAACATGCAAACTCCACTCAGAAAGGCCCTGGTCCGACCGGGATTCGAACCCAGGACCTTCTTGCTGAGAGGCGAGAGTGCTATCCACTCAGCCACCGTGCCGCCCAGATGTACAGATGATGGGTGAGCGACCTTCCTTTGTTTTGTGAGACAAAGGTGTCACATTGATCTAATATTAGGATGTACCAAACAGAAATGCACTGTATCAACCTCGGACAGTTCTATAAGTCGTATAAGAAACTAACATACTGTGCTGGAAACAGTGGGAAGAAGTTTGAATTCATCTTGGGATCTTTACAAGAGAGGAGTAAGTGGATGAAAAAACAGTGTGTAAACAGAACTGGGGACAAAACACTGCCCTGAGGTAACCCTACCCTTGAAACGGCATTCTTATACTTATGCAAATGTTTCAACACATTTTCAACTCTCTGCGCAGCCTTTGATCACACTGCAAACAAAAGGCCATTAGGATTGTTGTAATTGGTTACGTTTGTGTTTTTTGCTCTGCTTCCCCCTTTCTGTTTTTCCAGGGCCTTTGTTTGACCGGGGGCGTGGTGTTTGGATAGAAAAACAAGTCCAACACACAACCATAACAAAATGTCGCTTTAAAATAATCACTTAAAACTCACTGTTCGTAGAATAACTTTTGTTGCTGAAATTGTTTAACTCTAAAACTGCTCTTATAATGTTCTGGGCATCTTGAAACTCTGGACCTAATGTTTAAGGCTTATTCCATGACAAAAAGGTACCAGTGTGAAGTGGGCACCTCACTTTTTCAAAATGTGTTTAAAAACTGCGTAATTTGTTTGTGCAGAATTTTTTGCTACAGAAATGTGTGCCTTTATCATATCTTAAATATTTCACATGATATGTTTTAAAGCAGGGGTCACCAACCTTTTTGAAACCAAGAGCTACTTCTCCAGTACTGATTAATGCGAAGGGCTACCAGTTTGTTACACAATTACATAAATTGCCAGAAAAAGCCAATTTGCTCAATTTACTTTTAACTCTGTGTGACGGAGCGGGTCCGTCTGTAGTTACGTGCGCGGACTGAGTTTTAAAGTAAAGGCTGACTTTAGTGCCGCATGCGCCACACGCGCACCTGCACGCACACACACACGCCATTCCAAACGCGCGCACCCCTTTTTCCCTCCGTTCCATTAATGCTTAACAGCCACACGCATCATCCATACTCTTGTCCCTCTCTTCCCTCAGTTACTAGTTCGCCCAGGGGTGCACACTGTGCGGGCTAGAAATACATTTAAGCATACATTCATACACGTACCGGTCTGTCGCGCTCCTCTGCATCTGTGCGCGAGGATCAAACCAGGACCATACTTCCTGGCGGGTTAAATGCGCCCTGGGAGCGTGGGGAATTGTCCCCAAGATTAAATATACTTATAATGGCCTAATGTTTCATTGTAGAGTATAGGTTTTTGTGTTGGACCAATAGGGAATGGGTCCATATATGTATTCCCTGTTTATACGTCCTATTTGTAATAATTTATTTTGCTCAATGGGAGGAGCAAAGGGGACTATAAAGGAGAGCCGTGTCTGGCACCCGTCAGTCTGCCGCTGGTTACAGAGGAGGTAACTACCTGGAGCCATTAAAGGTGACCTATGTGTCCGAGTGGACCTGTTGTTTTTTTCTGCTAAATTCACTGTACATATGCTCTGCACTGCCTGTACCAATTTTTACGCACTTTGGGGAAAATAAAAGCACAAATAATCACTGCAATCCGAGCTCGCCTGTATTTTTTTTAAAGTAACCCACGACAGATGGTGTCAGAAGTGGGATGGCAAGCCGGAAGAAAAGTGTTCGTTTACCCAAGCGCACAGGTTTGCGGTCTCAGAGCCATGTGCAACAGCCAGGGGGCGCTGGAGCAGCATGGGAAACCGAGGATGAGGAAGAGAAACCGGAAGTCAAACCCGGGCCATTCTCGGAGCCTGGACAGGATATGGTGATGTTAATGAGGGAGTTTCTGGCTGGACAGCAACGCCGGGAAGAAGGGTTGCTGGTAGAACTCCGGAGGCTGGGGAATGCTCAGTCTAACCCTCCGTCTTCTCCACCGCCTTTGTCCAGAGATCGGCCGGTTCCACACTTTCCCATTTCACGTGCCCAGTCTCAGGCATCATTGTCACTGTCCGACAGGAGCCCAATGATTGGATTACCGACCCCTGCTGGCCAGCGAATGCAGTACGCAGGGATTCATCAGGGAGGTGATGAGAGTGATGAGGGTGAGGAGCAAAGGCACCAAGCTCTAAACCCTGAAAACCGACCCAGACGTGACTGGAGGCATTATAATGAGCCAAAGATACCACAATACCAGAGTGGTGAGGACATGGAGAACTATCTGTTGCGTTTTGAACGGATAGCAAAAACCTGGAAATGGCCAGAAGATGAATGGGCGTGTCGACTCGTTCCTCTGTTAAGCGGCAAGGCGCTGGAGGCGTACTCTGCCATGGACGAGGAGAGAGCCCACTGCTACCGGGACTTAAAGGAGGCCCTGTTGGCAAAATTTGATATTTCACCCGAGACCTACCGCCAGCAGTTTCGCGCAATCATCATGGAGCAGCTGCTGCGAGTTTTCCCCTTCGAGGTGCGGACCTGGGTGAAGGAGCGCGAGCCCGGCGATGGACTCACCGCTGCAAAGTTGGCCGTGCAGTACCTCAACGCGCGCAAAGGAGGACCTGCCCGGACCGGCACTACAGCTCAGCGTGGGCCAGCTCAGCCGCTTCTCTCCAGACCACCCCGGCAGGACAGCTACCCAGATCGGCAAGGTACCACCAGCTCTACCCCAAACCAACGAGGACCTGGTAAGGATCTTGTTTGTTTTTACTGTCAGCAGCCAGGACACAAAGCATCCGTGTGCCCTGTGCGCAAAGCAAAATTTAGTGGGGCATGTTATCCACCAAGACCAGAGTCCGTGAGCTCTATGGAAGCTGAAGGTACTGTGCAACGTTATAAAACTGTACTGATCAATGGCAAAGCGATTACAGCATTGCTTGATACTGGCAGCTTTATGTCGTTGATCAAACGTAGCTCAGTTCCAGTTAGCGGCACGGATTACAGCCAGACTGTGGATATTCAGTGCGTGCATGGGGATAGCCATCCCTATCCTACTGTGGATGTGACTGTGACTGCCTTAGACCAGCCCTATCTTGTGAGTGTGGGTGTGGTTGAAAACTTACCAGTGGATGCTATTCTCGGTTGGGATTTACCAGTTCTCATGGACCTGTTGAACGAAAAAGTGTCTGAGGAAAGTGACTCTGGGGGGAATAGTAACTGTTCTATGTCTATGGCATGTCCTGTTTTAACCCGAGCTCAGGCAAAAACGGGTGTCCAGCCTCTGCCGGACTTGGACAGTAGTCTGTGTGAGGGGGGCACCAAGGGGCCCAAGAAGTCCCGCCGTCAGAGGCGGTTTGAGAAACAAATGTGGTCTGCTAGTCCTGAAGATGTTTTACCTTTGTGTTGGAATGTGCCTGACAATGTTGGTGAGTTACAGCGTAAAGATGAAACATTGAAATGTTTGTTTGCTAAGGTGGGCAAGGATACAAAGAGTTGTCTGGGACGGGAGAGGTTTGTCATTGACAATGGGTTGCTATACAGTGAGGGTAATGAATGTAAACGTCTGGTTGTTCCCCTTAGCTGCAGAACTCTTGTCATGCGCGTAGCACACACTGTTCCATGGGCGGGTCATTTGGGGCGCCACAAAACATTTTTGCGCATTAGCTCACGTTTTTTCTGGCCTTCAATGTATGCAGACATCCAAACGTACTGCGCGACCTGTCCTAGTTGTCAGAAAACATGTTCTGTGCGCAAATCTGACCGTGCTTGTTTACAGCCTCTACCGGTAGTGTCTACTCCTTTCCGGAGGATCGCAATGGACATTGTGGGGCCACTGGTGAAGAGCAGTAGCGGCCACCAGTACATCCTAGTCATATCGGACTATGCGACCAGGTTTCCTGAGGCCTTCCCGCTCAGAACCATCACTGCCCCGGCTGTTCTTCGAGCTCTCGTCCAGCTATTCTCAAGAGTTGGATTACCGGATGAGATTCTTACGGATCAAGGCACCAACTTCACGTCCCGGTTGATGCACCTTTTCCAGCAGCAATTGGGGATCAAACCTATTCGTACCACCCCATACCACCCACAAACAGATGGACTAGTGGAGAGGTTTAATCAGACACTCAAACGCATGCTACAAAAGTTTGTGGATGACACCGGTAGAGACTGGGATCGGTGGCTTCCGTTTGTTTTGTTTGCTTATCGGGAAGTCCCACAAGCGTCAACTGGATTTTCCCCATTCGAACTGCTGTATGGCTGGGATGTTCAGGGGCCATTGGACCTTCTCCGCAAACAATGGGAGGGTCCCTCAGCCAAACAAAATGACCGCAGCATCGTGCAGTTCGTCTTAGAGATGCGAGAGAGACTGTCAAAGTATTTGGAGGAAGCGGAGGAAAACCTGCGAGACGCTCAAAAGTCCCAGAAAGCCTGGTATGACCGCCAAGCGCGCCGTCGGGAGTTCCAGCCAGGTCAAAAGGTATTACTCCTTCTACCCTCATCCACCAATAAGCTGCTCACAAAATGGCAGGGGCCGTATGCTGTGCTGCGCAAGATGGGTCCAGTCACATACGAAGTCCTACACCCCGAAAAGAAAAGGCCCAAACAGACCTACCACGTTAACCTCCTAAAGGAGTGGAGGGAACGGCCTGAGAAAGCAACGGCAAAGGTTCTGTTTGTCAGACAGCTGGAGGAAGCGGACGAGGAAGATGATGTTCCGGATGTCGGACTAGAGGGATTAACAAAAGCTGCAACCCCGATCCTGGCTCATCTCTCTCCTGAGCAAGCTGCCCAGCTGTTCCAGACCTTCAAGGAAGTCTCGTCCCTCTTCAGTGCCACTCCCGGCAAGACCACCATTGTGGAGCACCTCGTTCGGCTGAAAGACGGGAGACCCATCCGACAGCGGCCCTACCGTGTGCCTCAGCAGCTCATCGGAAAGCTCCAGGATGAGATCCAGGAGATGCTGAAACTTGGAGTGATCGAACCCTCCAACTCAGAGTGGAGTAGCCCTGTGGTCATTGTTTTTAAAAAGGATGGATCGCTCCGGATATGTATTGATTTTCGGAAACTGAACTCTGTTTCAGAATTTGACGCATATCCAATGCCAAGAATTGATGACTTGCTGGAGAAGATTGGGGCAGCTAAGTACATCACCACTTTGGATCTATGCAAAGGATATTGGCAGGTGCCCCTCGAGAAGTCATCACGGCCCTGCACCGCATTCCAAACCCCTGCTGGACTGTTTCAGTTTACGGTGATGCCGTTTGGACTGCATGGAGCCCTAGCCACGTTCCAACGTCTGATGGACCGGGTTCTTCAAGGGTGTGGGCATTGCAGCGCGGCCTACCTCGATGATGTGGTTATCTTCAGTGAGACCTGGAGTGACCATGTTCAGCACCTTTCCCTCGTCCTGAAGAAGATTGAGCAAGCTGGGCTGACACTAAATCCAGCTAAATGTGAGTGGGCTCGGCAGGAGACTCGGTATCTTGGCTACCAGATGGGTCGAGGAGAAGTACGGCCCCAAGTGGACAAGGTCAAAGCGGTCCTGCAGTCTCCTAGGCCACGCACCAAGAAGGAAGTCCGGTCCTTCCTTGGGTTGGCAGGATGGTACAGGAGGTTTGTGCCACAATTCGCAACCATCGCTGCTCCCCTCACCGCACTCACGGCCAAGAACCAGCGAAATCCAGTAGTCTGGACCGAGGACTGTGAGAAGGCTTTTGCCACCCTTAAAGCTCACCTGTGTTCGTCTCCTGTGCTGAAAAGTCCAGACTTTAACATGCGCTTTCTCGTCCAAGTGGATGCCTCCGCTGTGGGCCTTGGAGCAGTTCTGGCTCAAGGGGAGCCGGGAGAAGAGAGGCCAATACTCTACTTGAGTCGGAAACTCCAGCCACGAGAGACACGCTACTCTGCAATCGAAAAAGAGGGTCTGGCCATCAAATGGGCGTTGGAGAGTTTACGCTACTATTTGCTGGGGCGAGAGTTCGATCTAGAAACCGACCACCGTGCCTTAACATACATCCAAACCATGAAGGATCACAACAGCCGTTTGACCAGGTGGTACCTTGGTCTACAGCCCTTCCGGTTCTCCATTCGACACCGTGCCGGTAAGCTGAACATTGTTGCGGACTACTTGTCCAGGTTGCCCCACAGTGTCGACCTTCCGGAGGGGAGGGATGATGTGACGGAGCGGGTCCGTCTGTAGTTACGTAGTTTTAAAGTAAAGGCTGACTTTAGTGCCGCATGCGCCACACGCGCACCTGCACGCACACACACACGCCATTCCAAACGCGCGCACCCCTTTTTCCCTCCGTTCCATTAATGCTTAACAGCCACACGCATCATCCATACTCTTGTCCCTCTCTTCCCTCAGTTACTAGTTCGCCCAGGGGTGCACACTGTGCGGGCTAGAAATACATTTAAGCATACATTCATACACGTACCGGTCTGTCGTGCTCCTCTGCATCTGTGCGCGAGGATCAAACCAGGACCATACTTCCTGGCGGGTTAAATGTGCCCTGGGAGCGTGGGGAATTGTCCCCAAGATTAAATATACTTATAATGGCCTAATGTTTCATTGTAGAGTATAGGTTTTTGTGTTGGACCAATAGGGAATGGGTCCATATATGTATTCCCTGTTTATACGTCCTATTTGTAATAATTTATTTTGCTCAATGGGAGGAGCAAAGGGGACTATAAAGGAGAGCCGTGTCTGGCACCCGTCAGTCTGCCGCTGGTTACAGAGGAGGTAACTACCTGGAGCCATTAAAGGTGACCTATGTGTCCGAGTGGACCTGTTGTTTTTTTAAATTCACTGTACATATGCTCTGCACTGCCTGTACCAATTTTTACGCACTTTGGGGAAAATAAAAGCACAAACAATCACTGCAATCCGAGCTCGCCTGTATTTTTTTTAAAGTAACCCACGACACAGGGACAGGAAAGAGTGGATGTTTCCTCCATCAGGACAATGAACAGTAACCACAGACCGTAGGCGTGGACTGACCAAGTGTGACATCACCACAGTGTGACATCACTTATGTGTATTTACAGTGGGGCAAAAAAGTATTTAGTCAGCCTCCGATTGTCCAAGTTCTCCCACTTAAAATAATGACAGAGGTCTGTAATGTTCATCATAGGTTCACGTCAACTGTGAGAGACAGAATGTGAAAACAAAATCCAGGAATTCACATTGTAGGATTTTTAAAGAATTTATTTGTAAATGATGGTGGAAAATAAGTATTTGGTCACTTCTGTGGCTCTCACAGACCTGTAACTTCTTCTTTAAGAAGCTCTTCTGTCCTCCACTCGTTACCTGTATTAATGGAACCTGTTTGAACTCATCTGTATAAAAGACACCTGTCCACAGCCTCAAACAGTCAGACTCCAAACTCCACTATGGCCAAGACCAAAGAGCTGTCCAAGGACACCAGGAAAATAATTGTAGACCTGCACCAGACTGGGAAGAGTGAATCTACAATAGGCAAGCAGCTTGGTGTGAACAAATCAACTGTGGAAGCAATTATCAGAAAATGGAAGACATACAAGACCACTGATAATCTCCCTCGATCTGGGGCTCCACACAAGATCTCATCCCGTGGGGTCAAAATGATCATGAGAACGGTGATCAAAAATCCCAGAACCACACGGGGGGACCTGGTGAATGACCTGCAGAGAGCTGGGACCAAAGTAACAAAGGTTACCATCAGTAACACACTACGACGACAGGGAATCAAACCCTACAGTGCCAGACGTGTCCCCCTGCTGAAGCCAGTGCATGTCCAGGCCCGTCTGAAGTTTGCCAGAGAGCACATGGATGATCCAGGCCCGTCTGAAGTTTGCCAGAGAGCACATGGATGATACAGGCCCGTCTGAAGTTTGCCAGAGAGCACATGGATGATACAGCAGAGGATTGGGAGAATGTCATGTGGTCAGATGAAACCAAAGTACAACTGTTTGGTATAAACTCAACTCGTCGTGTTTGGAGGAAGAAGAATACTGAGGTGCATCCCAAGAACACCATACCTACTGTGAAGCATGGGGGTGGAAACATCATGCTTTGGGGCTGTTTTTCTGCTAAGGGGACAGGACGACTGATCCCTGTTAAGGAAAGAATGAATGGGGCCATGTATCGTGAGATTTTGAGCCAAAACCTCCTTCCGTCAGTGAGAGCTTTGAAGATGAAACGTGGCTGGGTCTTCCAGCATGACAATGATCCCAAACACACCGCCCGGGCAACGAAGGAGTGGCTCCGTAAGAAGCATTTGAAAGTCCTGGAGTGGCTCCGTAAGAAGCATTTGAAAGTCCTGGAGTGGCTCCGTAAGAAGCATTTGAAAGTCCTGGAGTGGCTCCGTAAGAAGCATTTGAAAGTCCTGGAGTGGCCTAGCCAGTCTCCAGACCTCAACCCCATTGAACATCTGCGGAGGGAGTTGAAAGTCTGTGTATATATGTATATATGTGTGTATATGTGTGTATATGTGTGTATATGTGTGTATATGTGTGTATATGTGTGTATATGTGTGTGTATATGT